CATCCTGTTTAATTGAAAACTAAGGGAGTTATAGCTATTTAAAGTTTCGGCCAATCAGATTGCAGCGCACGTACACGCACGTGTATGGATGTGAATGGTGACCATACCTTCTTGTAGAAGTCCATTATATCTATCTATGTTCCAAATCTCATCCTGTTTAATTGAAAACTAAGGGAGTTATAGCTATTTAAAGTTTCAGCCAATCAGATTGCAGCGCACGTGCATGCACGTGTTTTCATGATAATTTTTATATATCATTTTGTAGGATATCCTAATGCATGGCTATGTTCAAAATTTCAAAGGATTTCATCAAAAAACAAGAAAGATATTGAGACTTTAGTTTCAGTCAATCAGAGCGAAGCGCACGTGCATGCGCGTGAGAACTTGCTATTTTGACCATGTCTTATTGTCTATCCTACTAATATATCCTTATATTATGAGTTTCAGAGCATTTCATCAAAAATGTAAAAAGTTACGCCGATATCAATTAAATCGTCATTTTTCGTGTTGCACGTGCGCGCTCTTGCAAGCACGTGCGCGCAAAATGACCTTTGTTCGGCAAATCTACATAACATGTCTACTGACCCTAAAAACATTTTACCTTACTCGGATGTGTAGTTTACAAGATCACTCGAGGACAAAATTTTCCCAGGAATAATAATAATAATAATAATAATAACTAGTGCTAATTGTAACGGGCACCGTTACAGATGTTCCCCAAACGCTCCCCAACTCCCTTTTGGTGCCACATTCCCTGTAAGCTTCATTAAATAAGACAAATTCTGTGCATTTTTTACTTTAACAACTTTTTCTCAGAAGGATACCAATTATATTCAAATTTTAGCATTGCACCCAATCGCATGTGCGTTAAGATCATATCTTCTTGTCTACACTATTTATCATCTTTAAATATAGTATATATTAAAGCATTCAGTCCAAAAGTATTAAAATCAGGCATTCAAGTGTATTTTTAATTTCACTCATTCCAAATGCATGCACGTGCGTGCACGTGCATGACGACAATACCTTCTTGTAAGAGTCCCTTATATTTATCTAATCACATCCTGTTTGGTTGAAAAACAAGGGAGTTATAGCCATTTCAAGTTTTGGCCAATCAGATTGCAGCACACGTGTATGCGCGTGATTTCATAAATATTTTTCTGAATCATATCGTAAGATATCTTAATGTATGACTATGTTTTAAATTTCAAAGCATTTCATCAAAAAACAAATGAGATATAGCCATTTAAAGTTTCAGCCAATCAAATTGCAGCACACATGCATGCGCATGATTTCATGAAATTTTTTTATATCATATTGTAGGATATCCTAATGCATGACTACGTTTTAAATTTCAAAGCATTTTGTCAAAAAATAAAGGAGATATAGCCATTTAAAGTTTCAGCCAATCAGATTACAGCACACGTGCATGCGCGTGATTTCATGAAATTTTTTATATATCATATTGTAGGATATCCTAAAGCATGGCTATGTTTAAAATTTGAAAGGGTTTCATCAAAAAACAAAAGAGATATTGAGATTTTAGTTTCAGCCAATCAGAGCAAAGCGCACGTGCACGCGCGTGAGTTCGGTCTAATTTGACAGTGTCGTTATATTAACAATATTAATATATCCTAAAGTAATGAATTTCAAAGCATTTCATCAAAAAATGTAAAAGTTATGGCTATATTAACTATATCAGTCATTTAACATACTTCACGCGCCCACACGTGCAGGCGTATGCGCGCAAAATGACCTTCGTTCAGCACATCTACACAACACACCTATTAACCCTAAAAAGGTTTTAACTTAATTGGGTGAACAGTTTCTGAGAACACTTCCGGACAAAAAAAGTCCGGAGAAGAAATAAGAAGAAAAAAGAATAATAATAATAACTAGATGCGTTCTTGTTGCTGGAGCAACAAGCAGGTCTTCCGACCGACTTTTCGTTAGAGTTCTATGCTGTGTCCTTCCAGGAAATAGATTTCAGAGTGCATTTTTTTTGTTTACGTTTATTCATAGCAGTCTCTCCACATTACATCATGATTACTACAGGTATATCTCAAAAGATCTCTAAAAATAGCTTATAAAAATCGGCAAAATATTCCATACATGTTGAAAAAGAGAGAAAAGTCATTTACAAATGAAAAAAGGTAGAAACAAAGAAAAAATTTTTGAAACCCCCCAGCGGGATTCGAACCCCCATCAGTGGGACAAAGTTTGGTTCGGTCATATCTTTTTAACATATGCATGCATCAACATATTGAACATATATTTAGAGTTCTCATACGACACTCTATAAACCTTGAAAAAACTAAAGAAAAATATCGAAAAACAAAAAAGTTGAAAAATTGCACTTTTTGAATTCACTTCCGTTTGCGACCGGAAGTGCTGACGACGAAAAATAAATGTCGTTGCCCATAATGGAATTCGATGTTCGATCACGTCAGTGATTTTCACTTTCATATCTTTAGCCGTTCTCGAGAAAACCGCTGGACAAAATGCCTTTTTAAAAAAACAAAAATCCCCAAAAATCGCGAATGAAAGTGAATTTTGAAAAAATGAAAAACACGTCTGGAGATATTCTCATGATGCATCATCCCTGTAAAAATCTTTCAAATCCGTCCACGCACAGCTGAGATATCGCCCTAACTATGAAAAAAAGAATAATAATAATAATAATAAAAAAACAGACGAATAACAATAAGGTCTTCCGAAGGAAGTCGGAAGACCTTAATAATAATAAGAAGAAACAGAGTAAAAACAATATGTTCCCCAACTTCGTTTGGGGAACATAATAAGAAACAGAGTAAAAACAATATGTTCCCCAACTTCGTTTGGGGAACATAATAATAGGGTTATCTATTTTGGCCAAGTGAATTTTTAAGAAATGGAACCTACTCAGTTTTAGATGAAAGGAGAATCATTTGTGGTACCCTTATAGAGACTGCATATCAATAAAAAATTACGTAGCTTTCTACCTCGCCATTTATCATACCACCATGAGTTGCGTCATAATTCTCAATTCTCAAATTGAAATTCTGAAATTTTCTTATAAATAGCTTAATCCTACTTGAATATGGAATTAAATTGCGTTTTCATTGAATACTGTAGATTCCTAATTATACGGGAGGAATTAATTATCGCGTAATTTTGCGAGAAGCATCATTCGCAAAATAAAAATGCTCGCTTTTATTTTTAAGATGCCGAAATCCATGGAAATTCTCTTGATCAACCATCCATTCGTGAACAATTATTCTTGCAATTTGACGTTCAAGAGCCATCTCGCGATAATAAGTACTCGCCAAAAAATAAGGAATCTACAGTATAATTGTCTTTTTAATTGTCTTCTATCTGTAACTCAGTTTCTTGCATATTTCCTTGAAAATGATAATCTGTTCATTGTCCATATCTCTGAAGAGATTTGTCCTATGACAAATAAGATTGTTGTGTTTCAAGTTCGTGAATTGAATGATAAATTCTTCTACAGAGTGAAACAAGGTTGAGATACTATTTTCAAATTCTTGTATATTTGAAATATTGAATTAATGTTGACGAAATTTTTACTACACATACTTTCAGGAGACGTTCCCATCATCCAATGTCATTGTCACATGGTTTTTGATTCCTGACAGATCCGTGTCCAATGAAAATTATAGCATTCCTATTGACAACGGCATCCACACATTAAAGATATTTATAAAGACTGTTTCTACAGAATCCGAGGTTTCTCTGTATTATCCCAACGGTATGTTTTACTCAAAATTTCAAAAACCTATACATGTAATCCTTTACAAGCATAGAATATACGGTATTTGAAGTAGAAAAAGTTAAACATTGAAAGATGCTGGAAATTCAAATAACTTTTGAAATTCTGCTGTGACTCTATGTAAATGCATTGCTTGCTGAGTGACTAAATCAAAACCAAAACTGGTTTTTTCTATCTCTAAGGTGAGTATTGGAATTAAAATTAATATATAATTCATGAATTTTCAGAAATCGAAAAGGAATTTTTGATAAATTGACAATACTTCTCTCAATTTGAGGAATAACTGTCTAAATTCTTTGTTTCTTGGTGTGATTAATCGATTGGATAGCGTGATAATTTGCATAAACGCTGAAAGCGTTTATGCATGTTATCACACAAGCCAATCGATTTAACATTGTCATGGAACAAGACAGTTTGTCAATTATACCTTATATTTACCAACTATTGAATCTGGAAACCACTTGCTCTAAGTCCTGCTTCTCACTCTGTTTGTCCCGCGCCCTGCACGTGATTTTTTTTAATTGTGCCTATCGATGAACCAGTTGATATATATATATATATATATATTTAGAGAGAGAGAGAGAGAGAGAGAGAGAGAGAGAGAGAGAGAGAGAGATAACATTTACTATTTGTAATTTTGTCTCTGACAAACACATTGTAAGTGTAATTATTATCCTTCAGAATTATACAGTCAATCTGATTGGTTTAGAGCAGGTCACGTGCCGAGAGACAACTCGTGATGTCTCCCTCACGCACAGGGTGACAACTGTTATCTCCCTTCAGACGATAATGAAATAGCTTAAGCGAGCATGCAGGGTTACAACTGTGTTGTCGCCCTTTGAATAAAACTACAGTGGTTTAAGTGAGATAACTGCTATTTATAAGGACAATGGCTAAATATGCGGGATCGGTAAACAAATTCTAACGATGATGTCAAGGTTGTCTGTTGAAATATTTTGAAAGTATGGAATCAGAGCAGAGTAGAAGAAAACAGTAGGTTCGATTACTATTTTCTACTCGGTCTAATTGAGAATTGTATATTCTTCAGGATAATAAAACAATTATGGACTGTTAAGAAGGGAGACGTCACCAATGATTAGGTCTGAATAGGGTTGTCACCCTCGGGCGCAAGCGCCCTCGGGTGAAAACCCTACTCAGACCCGATAATTGGTGATGTCTCCCTTCTAAACAGTCCATAATTGTATAATATACCATGATTGCAAGAAATTTAAACTGACTGCAAATATGCAAAAACGGTGTCTATATCTTTAATACATCGTATGGCACTACAAAATGTGATCACAAAATTATTATCATCATCAACATGCACATGTTTTTGTTTTTTCTCACTTCCCCTACTAGTCCGAAGAATCTGACGTTTTCCAGACTTTCTTTTTACGATTTTGATATTTTACATGCCAGGAAAACGTCAGAACCGGCGCCATTACGTAAACTGGGAATTCGCCGCCTCCAAATGGAGGCGGCATTCTCGGTTGATTTTAGATACTTGCAAATCGAATTAAATATCAAAGTCACATGTTATCAATACTACAATACTTTTAGTACTTACCGATATCGTTTTATGGTTCAGTTATAAAATATACAATCCGTTTTAAAACATTTTATCAGAGTGTCGAGATTTGTCTTCATTTCGTTCATTTTAAAATCTTGCAAGTACTGGAACAAAATGTGGAGTGATATTTTCTTTTCATCGATATTGGTGAGTACTAGAGGCATTGTGCTTTTGATAATTTCTGATTTCGGCATTAAGTTCGGTACGCAAGAATAAGAAATGAACTCCGTTTGGAAACGGTGAATTTTCCAGTTTTCATAATGGCGCCGGTTCTGACGTTTTCCTGGCATGTAAAATATCAAAATCGTAAAAAAAAGCCAGGAAAACGTCAGATTTTTCGGACTATTCCCCTACTTGACACCATAAATTCCATGGTTGAATATTTTTGACAATCGATTTTAATGCAAAGTAACCAAAATACACAGCTGAGCAATTTTCATAATTTTAGACCACATAGTCAGGAAATTTTCACATATTATGTTCTTATGCGTTTCCTTTTCCTTTCAGTATATAACCTTTTATATGCTGATTAGTTGAGGGTATAGTAAAATCAGTTAATCATAGATACTCAAAATACATATGGCTTTCAATATATATTTCAATTCGTACTATTTTCACATCCACAGTCCCTGACATTACATTGCAAAAAGACATCATATATCTTAGACGCGTTTTGATATTGATAATATAAAGTTTTGACGGATACTGAGTAATACCTATTGTTTTTGCTATTGCATACATCTTTAAACATACTTTAGAGTTTCTGTATTATAAAACTCTTCAGATATTGCTCTTGAGACATTTAAACATTAAAACCTTTTCTATATTATATAGGTTCAGAAGTTATGTTTTCATCTCAAAAGATGCAGCAAAACATTTTAGACAATATTTTGACAATTTCTATTCGGGTAGGTATTGTACTTGAGGGACACTGAGATGACATGTCAGTATCATAAGTATTATAAAAAAACATTTTAAGTATGTAGGAATTTTTTTTTATCATTTAAAAGGATCCAATGTATGGTACATGGATACTGAAAAGGAATTCGATAAATGCCTATGTTGTGAACGTGACTGCTCAGAGCCCATTGGACTTTTCAACAAGTATTTTAGAACCTAGCACGGGTGGAAACTCTTTCCAGTTGTCTGGAAATCCAATAAAAGGTAGATTCACTTGAAATACTTCTCTAATAAAAAGTTACTATAGTAACATCCGTAAACATAATAATACATTTAATGAAAATATCGATTTTCAACTTTTGAAACTTTTCTGTGATATTTCTGTGCTCTTAAAAGGGGAATGTAAATCTAAAAATGTACGTTAATAATTCAGTTTTATTATAAAGGACTTAAGTTCGTTGAATTTACTTTAATGAAAATGTGGATACTTTATTTTTCCTTACAGTTCAAAATTTGAATTACTATCATAAGCCCAATTTTTTTTTTACACCTGTATCTCTTTTTAGAATTATCGCACAAGTATGTAGCTTATCGTATTAATTAACTTATTTGAAGTTAAGATATTTTCAAATTAGCTCAGTCAGAGATATATTGTTAATTTTGAATTCGCAGAGGTCTTTTTTATCTTGACTGAAAGCTTACAAACATTTTTTTTTCCAATTTCAGGACGCGATTATCTGCTTGTTGTTGATATTCAAAATCTTGACTCAAATTCCTCATGCAGCATGGCTTGTCTTCTTGATAATAAAGGAAACATCGTAACAGAGATTCCATTGACTAGAATTGCTATGACGGGTATTGCTAGTTTTATAGGAGACTTTAGACCTTTGACTGAGGTAATATTTTTCATTTTTTTTTATTTTTAAGTTTTTTTAGAAGCTGGATATATCGTCATCTCTGTCTCATTTCATTTTGTTTTAAAGAACAGTATATTCAGAGGAAAATATTATATAAAAGTGTTATTAATATAACCTTGCGGTATGCATTATTTTTTAATTAAGTCAAGCTACGTACAAATTAGAGGAACTGATGAATTCGGGAACGAATTTTTGAGAAGTCAAAAATTTCCAATTATACCCGTCTCCATTCAACTGCGTATTTTGCCTGTTCTTGGTAAGTAAATTAAAACTAATCTTTTTTTATATAGAATTAGAGATTTACCATTTTGGAAAAATACCCACAGTAGTTTCAAATTAGGAAGGAAAAATAGAATTTTTAATGTTTTATTTCTATTTTATCCCTACTTTAATCCAGATTTAACAATATTTAATTAAAATGAAATTGTTCAGACATCTGTCTTTTATTTTAAAAACACATTTTACACTTTTTACAGGAGATTTAAGACTGAACGAGGGTAGAAATATTTCTTTTACCTTAATTAACACGGGAAACACGACTGTAAATTTCAAAATAACAGTGTTGAATAAAAAGTCAACTACAAACATCAGTGTACAATCAAAAAGTTTAGATGCTGGTGAAATTTACAGTGGAGCTGTTTCGATTACTCCAAGGTCACTAAATACAATGTGAGTAAATCTGACATCATGTCTTGCCACTTATGATTCAATTTAACGATATATTATTCAAGGTAAAGCGCTTTGTTAAAAGACTGTAGATCTATTTAAGGATGTATTATTCAAGGTAAACTGGCCACAATCAAGTGACGAATTTTAATATATGTTGTGATTTTTATTTTCATTATTTTAATGTTAAATTTGTTGGGTTTTTGTTTATCTGAAAATATTCAACCAGTTCAAACCTTTCCTCGGAAATAAGCACTTTAAACACTTACGTCAATATCTTGGTATAATTATCAAATCAGTTCAGGGCATATCGATGGGGGTTAAACAGTTCTTGGGAGTCTTTTTTCATCCAATTTGAAATTTGTCTTTCGAAAACAGAAATTTTAACATACCTTGAAATCAGCTTACTAAGTGAAATATTCATAGATGCCTTATCCTTTTATGTTAGGTTCCACCTTAAATTCGTAAGGTCATATATAGCTGCATTGTCATTAATGTGAACGTCTATATTTATAAGTATATATACTTAATAATAACATATAAACTTGATTTGTTTTTTAATTTAATTTTTTTTAAAGATTTAAAACTATTTTATATAAAATATGAAGATAACAACCCCGATAGAAAAGTGAGAAGGTATATAATGATCGGGTGTCCTTCTGTCCGTTTAGCTGTCTGTACGTCCGTCCGTATGTTACGCTTTTATTCGCAACTCTTCATATACCACTGAATGAAACGTTCACAGAATCTTTGATACATAATGCCATTTTGTACTTTCTATTTTACTTTTTGATCTGACTCATATTTTGGGTGCCCCATAGCAAAACATGGACACTGCCATTCTTTCTATAATATTGAAAGGTACCCATCTTTTACATAAAATTAATGATCTACTTTTAAAGATGTGTCTTTACACACTGCCGTTTTGTACCTCCTATTTTACATTTTGATTTTACACGGTTTTGACTCAACAAATAAGTAATTTTCTCGAGTTTTAGCAATATTATTTTTGTTTCATTTATAAATCACATAAAGTGGATTATAAAAGAAAATCTTTTCTGTTCTTGCTACTCATTTTGGATTCTGTAAAAGCAAGAGTTTGTGGTATATAATTTTTGTTACTGGAAAACTACACGGGCGTCATTCAAAAAAATAAAACTATAATACGTTAAAGCTTGTATTTAACGGAAAATAATATATTTTTTAACCGTGTCTTGTTATAGGTGTCAGATACACGAAAAGCGCAGTGTACGGTATCAAATGTTAAGTTGTAAAGAATTACATGAATAATGAATTACACAAACTGTTCAACCTATAACTGGACAGGTTTAGTCAAAGTGTCGTCTGCCACGATACGACTCCTCAAATCAGTAAATGTCCAATGATCAATTTTGTTTAATTAAAAAATTACATAAAGTCTAATATAAGCAAACTTTTTCTCTCTGCCAATATCTGTAAAATCAGGTTATGTTATATAATTTTGACAGTTACTGAATACTTTAAAAAACTAAACTAATAAGTTTTAATATACTGTGAAATACAAATTTTCGATATAGGTGTTAATACACGAAGGTTTTCGTGGTGTCAAGGGAACATAGAATCATGAACACACGAAATGTAAAATATAACATGCATTACTCAAACAATTCTACCTCCACGAAATCAAATCCCCTGAACCAAGAGTTTTTCCTCAATCTCTCGAAAATTCTCACCAATAAAATATGTGATTTTACAGTATAACATGAAACATGACAAAAATAAACGTAAAAAAAAAATTTGAATTTTTGCATTGCTTTCATATTCGTATGCTATTAAAGATTTGTTAGAATAAATGAATTATTTTTTCTTCTATAGAGGCCATTGCTGTGTCCAGTCTGTAGTTTTAACCATTACAGACAAGAACGGCTATTTTGACCAATGTAGCTTTGTCTTGTCTACACAACCTTTGATTCTTGTCCCAAATATTACCACAATAAAAGATGAGACAACAAAAAGCGACAAACTAGAAAATGAAAAGGTGTGTTTTCTTTTAGCACTTATAAGTATGATAAAAATAATATTAATAAAAAAAACAGTTGTAAGATATTCTTTTGACAAAAAAATTATCATCTTAGAAATAAGGTTTTCAAGAGAAAAGTCGATGTTAAATATAACCATTTTCGAAAGAAAAAAAATATTAAGAGCACTAATAGAATTGTTAGTGCACCTTATGTTCTCTTATCATAGTGTATAAAGAAAAAAACACATTGCCTTACTGTCTTGTGATATGCTTTTGGCAAAAATTTTGTGGTCACCTTAGAAATAATGTTTTCAAGAGAAAAGTCGATGTTAAATATGCCCATTTTCGAGATGAAAATGTCCAGGTTGTAAAATGTTGAATAGACAAAAAAATGGAAACAATATAATTCTATATGATTTGAAATTTAATGAAATTAAATGACATTTGTTGTTCATAAAAAGTGTTATCTCATTTTTTATTTCGAAAATAAAGATTAAAAAGCATTCGATAACGAATTTAATAATCATGATGAAAAATACCGACTCAAACGTCCATTGTAAAAGGCTCATAAAATCCGAACCTCTAATAGAAAATGCACATCTACATGTATACGGTATATTGAAACTATGTGTATTACATCCTATGTGTATGGGAAAATGCAGAATTAATGCTTGCTTTTTCTTTTGGACATTAATAAAAGTTGTTTTTTTTTATTTCACAGGATGAGGCAACCAATGACTTAAAGACAGTGGGTATAGTGATTGGATCTACTGTAGCTGGAATCATCCTCATCACAATCCTTGTCGTCGTATTCTACAATTCAAAGAAAGGAACTTTACATAAACAGTCTTATCAGTTGGTGTGGAAGAAATAATAAAAAATACAAAAGAAAACAGTCAATGAATTGATAATTCCTAGAAGTTTTTCTCGTAATTGTTTTATTTTGTGTTGTCTTTTTTTGTTGTTAAATAATCTGTTTTACCCAATCACTAGAAAGTGCTCACGGTGGATAAGACTCTCATAAGAGAAATTTTATTCTTCGCTGTTTTCACTGAAAAGGATATGAGTTTTTGGCATTGCGAGATTAAGCACCATTTGTTTTATTCGGTTTGTTAAAAAAATATTACAGGTGCACTTTATTTTATCCATTTTTTTAAGGCTATTTCTTTCCAGAAAATTTTTTTGTGTATTGAAAAGGAATAATTTGTTTAACATGTATTACTTTAAATTACTTTTTATCCTTTGGATTTAAAAAATTCCTTCCAATATAAAAAAATAGTTTTCACAAAATAAAATTTATTTTCTATGAATTTTTAAGTGAGAACGAATTTTATTTCGTGGGAACAAAATTTTAATTTGATTTCGTTGGTACAAATTGGATTTCGTTAGGAAGGAATTTTGCATTTCATGGGAACAAATTAAATATCATCGGAACGAATTTCATTTCGTTGCAAATTTTATGAATTTTGAAAAATATTTTTACAATGTCCAATATTTATCTAAGGTAGAAAGGAGCTTACTATGTATATGTATGTAATCGATAAATTTGTTAAGGTTTGATTGAATACTAGCATAACTTAAGGCATGTAGTGTCGTTTTTGAAAGTTAACTTAGAATGCAGTCAGATAAGAACCTTAAAAACTTTGAAGAGCCGAATAAATAATAAAATAAATTGATATGGGAAAAGTATTGCAACTTGAAATTCTATTTGTTATCTGTTGTGGTAGCGGTTGGGAAGGATGCGTGCTAGTGGAGCAACTGCTATTCAAAACGCCATCTGAATACCGTTACCTTTTTATTTCTGAAATAATTTTACGTCTTTGTATGCTATTTTATTATGTTTAAAAAACGCAGCTATTCAAGCGGCTGCTTAGCGGCGTTAAATATCAAATAATGGCATGTTTGCATAAATTCTTTTCAAAACAAACAAATTGTGTTTAAAAACAAACACATTTTGACCTCTCGACACAGGGTGTATACACCTCAATGGTACCTCCATGGCCCCTGCTCACCCCTATTCTGCTTTAGAGGTCCAAGTTTGCTTTGCTCCTATTTTTTAATATTTAATGGATTTTCAAGATCAAAAAATGTTCTTTATGTCCACATATTTCTAAATATTAGCTAAAATGTATATGAGAAACCGAATAAAAATCCAACTATTTATCAATAATTTAAAAAATTGTAGGACCCCTTTCCCAACACACACTACTACCTGCAATACAATGAAAAAAAAATCTGCATGTGATCAATCTTGTTTTTAATGCTTTATGCCTAGGTCACATTTAAGCCAATTGTCGGGCGACTAAATTTTTCTGGTCTTGTCGGCTGAAAGAAAACGATCGGCCGACACGAGTAACTTGGATAAATAACACCAATTTCATTTTCTTAAAATTCAGCAATATTTTTTATAGATCAATAATCAGGTAGATGACGTAAGTTATGTTTTCAAAGCAAAGTGGCAGAATAATGGAAGATTTTGATTCAATCTTGAAAATATGTGCAAAATGTTGTATAGAATTGCATAAAAAACGAAAAATGCAGCATATCTAAGCATCAAAGAATACTTCAGATTTCTTTATATCTGATTGATTAATTAATAATGTTATTTCCGTTCAAAAAATATATATCAATCCATGCATCAAAATTTTGTGTGTGTTGTGTATCCTTGATAGCTTA